GGTCTCTCTTTATGAGTAGCCATAAGCCAAAATAGCCACTTTCTAGTTCAGCCCTGAGTGAGAGAAAGTTATATTTCAGCATGTAGTTCAAGTGAGACACAATGAGGAAATAAAAGCAAAATGCATGCAGCAGAAGGAATTTATTAGCAACAGGTCCTGAAAACATCAGGGGTATCAGTGGGAAGTCTGGAGGTGACAGGGTCCTCAATCAACTGGTATGGAGGTGGTGGAAGCTGAGAGTACCTGGGGTTCCATGCCTTTAAAGTCCATGGGCATTACCCCCTCGGGGCTTGTAGATTGGCTAAGTTAAAGAAAATATCCACTAAGGGTAGAAATTGAATGACCCTGATTTTGAGCACTAGGTTTTATTGCAGTTGGCAATTATGTAGTAAGCTGGATTGGGGTCAGACCAATGAAGAACAAGTGTGCTATGTGGCAAATAATCACACAGGGGAAAGAATTTTAACTAGGCCAACATGATGTGGTATGACTGAGTTTCAAACAACTATGACATGCCTAAAAATGGATGCCAAAGGCAGCACTTATATTAAACATATTTAAGACATTCAAAAATTGATTTTTATTTATGATTCAAGGAATATCTTTTTAATATCAAATTTCCTTGGACAGGATTATGCTTTTATTATTATTCTCCCATACTACAAATGAAAGGAGAGTATATATTAACAATTCATAATGATGTTACATCACATGAATTTTTGTGTTTGGTTACTTAATATTATTTGTCTTGTGCTAATATTACATATATTAATGCTTCCTGTGTGTGTTGTATAGACATTTCACAAACATGCTTTTAAAAATACCTATGTTTTTCTTAACCTCATGTTAAATTATGTTTAAAAGATGCGGAAGTGGGGCCAGCACTGTGGTGCAGCGGGTTAAAGCCCTGGCCTGAAGCGCCGGCATCCCATATGGGCGCCGGTTCTAGTCCCGGCTGTTCCTCTTCGATCCAGCTCTCTGCTATGGCCTGAGAAAGTAATAGAAGATGGCCCAAGTCCATGGGCCCCTACACTCACATGGGAGCCCTGGAAGAAGCTCCTGGCTCCTGGCTTCGGATCAGCACAGCTCTGGCCGTTATGGCCATCTGGGGAGTGAACCAGCAGATGGAAGACCTCTCTCTCTGTTTCTACCTCTCTCTGTGGCTCTGTTTTTCAAATAAATAAAATAACTCTTAAAAAAGATTCAGAAGTTATGAAAAAACAGATCCTCTCTTAAGGATGGCATGGGCATTTAGCCTTGTAGTTGAGTTGCCAAATAAGATACCTGTGTCTCACGTTGGAGTACCTTGGTTTGATACCTGGATCTGGCTCCTGATCCTAACCTCTTGGTAAGGTGAACTCTGGGAGTGGTTGTGATGGCTCAATTAATTGAGTCCATGCTACATGCACAGCTGACCAGGATTGAGTTCTCAGCTTTTATCTGGACGAACCCAACTGATGTGGATATTTGGGAAGTGAACCAGTGTATGACAGCATTCAGTCAATCTAGGTGAACTCCTAGACAAATCAAATAGTTTAAAACTTCAATTTAAAAAATTAGCTAAATATGAATATTTCTTTGATTTTAATAAGTTTGTAATATAACACACTTAATTATTTTAATGAGAACTAGGCATTCTGAACTTGCAAAATTTCTTACATTACTTATTGATCAGATAAGTTATTACTTTTAAATAAACATCTAAGTTTGAAAACATAATTTGGGACATGCTCAGGCTGACTTGCCCCAAGTGGTGGAGTTGGAAGCATACCAGGGGATTCCAATTCAATCCCATCGAGGTGGCATGTACCAATGCCATCTCACTGTTCCAGGTGATCAATTTCAGTTCACAGTTGGTCATGGTGGAGGGACTGGGAGTCAAAGGGAGCACATAGACAAGTCTAGTACCTGCTAACGCTAACTGATGGAGTAAATAAAGGGGAGAGTGATCCAACATGGGAAGTGAGATACTCAGCAGACTCATAGAATGGCAGATGTCCTAAATAGCACTCTGGCCTCAGAATCAGCCCTAAAGGCATTCGGAGCTGGCTGAAAAGCTCATGAGAGTATTTCAGGCATGGAAAGCCAAGACACTCTGGCAAAAGATCTCTGCGAGTGAGATCCCAGTGGAAAGAACAGGTCTTCAAAGAAGGAGGTACCTTTCTCTGAAGGGAGGAGAGAACCTCCACTTTGACTATGACCTTGTCTAAACAAGATAAGAGTCGGAGAACTCAGAGGGCTTCCATAGCCTTGGAAACTCATGACTGGAGCATAGGGAGATTACTGATGCCATAGACAGGAGTGTCAATTGGTAAAGTCAACAACAGGAGTCACTGTGCACTTACTCCTCATGTAGGATCTCTATCCTTAATGTGCTGTACATTGAGATTTAATGCTATAACGAGTACTCAAACAATATATTTCACCTTGTGTTTCTATGGGGGTGCAAACTGTTGAAATCCTTACTTAATGCATACTAAACTGATCCTCTGTAAAAAAAAAAATAAATAAATAAATAAATTATCAATTCCCAACTTGACTCTCACTGGGATTAAACATGACAATAGGTCTGCTCTGATTTCGTCATCATTTAAAAAATCATCTATTATTTTTCACTTTATGTTTCTGTGTGGGAGCAAACTGTTGAAATCCATACTTAATGTATACTAAGCTGATCTTCTGTATAATAAGATAATCGAAAATGAATCTTGATGTGAATGGAAGGGGAGAGGGAGTGGGAAAGGGGAGGGTTGTGGGTGGGAGGGACGGTATGGGGGGGAAGCCATTGTAATCCATAAGTCGTACTTTGGAAAATTATATGCATTAAATAAAAGTTTAAAAAAAAATTTAAAGCTGAGAAGCTAATAATTCAAAAAAAAAAAAAAAAGAAAACATACAGAATATTTTAATTTTTCCCAGTGGTCAGCTTGAACACAATTTTCATGATCCTTACTTTTAAAATCTGTATAATATGTAGTGCAGTGAGTTAACTTTGAATTCCCATGTGATGTTTTCATAAGACAGACTGCTGAAACATTGGTCACCAAGTATAGATTTAGAAAATGAATAGTTTAGAAATGAATAGTTCTTCTTTTGTCTATATTTTTAATGCAAGATGAATTGATTACAGGTAGTCATTAGGTGTGTTCATGGGCTCTTCCATTTTACCAAATGTTCATGTATGACTAATTTCTATTACCTACCTCCCAAGGTTCTCTGTGAAATAATTACTTCAGTTAAAATTAAAATGGGTGAGTGTGTAAATACTAGAAATAATAATGGTAAAGAAAGAATGTACATGCAAAGTAATGGAAAACTTTTTTTTTAAGTAATAGTTTTGTTCTGAAAAAAACATCAAGTTTAAAAATATGAAAGATCACAGTGAACAAAAACTCAAGTAGTTTTTAAAAAATGTGACAGGAATTAATTTTATATGCTTTGGTGTCTTAATACGTTTAGACTGCTATTACAGAATACCATAGACTGGGTGGCTTGAATAACAAACACTTATTTTCTCCATTCCGGAAGCTGAGACATCTAAGATTAATTCCCCCCCCCCAAAAAAAAATTAATTCCCACAAAGACAGAAACACTAAACTGAGACAAGTAAACCAGATTTTTCTTGTCAGTGATGGAACAAATATAACATTTACACATGACTGGCTTTCCTACACAAATACATACACCTCACGTATAGGCCAAATGGCCCATGAATTAGATATGGAAGAGAAACATAAAGCAGTACCTTACAAGAGGGAAGGTCTGTCCGTATACAGGAAGGCAGGGGAGTGGAAATGTTCCATTCACAAGCAGCAGTTGGTGGGCCGAAAGAAAAGACGAGCACCAAGAAGACGGGCACAGCACCTTAAGGTGAGTTCCCGCGCAGAGAAGCCCTACTTTCCTCTTCCACTGCTTTTATAGCCCCGGCGCACAGGTCCCAGATGTAAGGTGCATTGTGGGAAGGTGGAATTTTTTTTTTTAAGATTTATTTATTCATTTGAAAGGCAGAGTTACAAAGAGGCGGAGGCAGAGAGAGGTCTCCCATCCACTGGTTCATTCCCCAGATGGCTGCAACAGCCAGAGCTGTGCCAATCTGAAGCCAGGAGCCAGGAGCTTCTTGCGGGTCTCCCATGCGGGCATAGGGCCCAAGGACTTAGGCTATCTTCTACTGCTTTTCCAGGCCATAGCAGAGAGCTGGATCGGAAGTGGAGCAACTGGGACTTCAACTGGCACTGCAGGCGGCAGCTTTACCTACTACACCACAGCGCCAGCCCCAGGTGGATGTTTTGATTAACAGGTAACAGGTTTCTTTCAGAGCGAGGAAACAGATGATCATGGCCCAGGCTGCTCCAGACCCCAGCACCTACAAGACAGATTTCTGTGCTAGTCCCATGGCAGAGTGAGGCCAGAAGTGGGCCTCTTCCACCTCTCTTCAGATCTCACATCGCTCAGACAATTGTCAGGCTGTTCAGTGGGGCTGGAGTTTTTGAACCCTCAGACATAGGTAGAATGTCTTTCACAAGCAGGCTATCAGCTGTGGCTAGAAAGCTTGTTTCCAAGCCAATCAACATACCTTATGTGAAACCCCTGTCCAATGGGCACCCCCAGTGAATAGATAGCAATGCCTTAAAAACACCCAGGGGGGCGGCACTGTGGCACCTTAAGTTAACCCTCCACCTGCAGTGCTGGCATCCCAGTTTCTTGTCTCCACTGCTCTTCTTCTGATCCAGCCATCTCAATGAACTGGGAAGGCAGTGGAGGATGGCCCACGTGCTTGGGCTCCTGCACCCACATGGGAGACCTGGAAGAAGCTTCTGGCTTCGCATCGGCCCAGCTCCTGCCTTTGTGGCCATTTGGAGAGAGAACCAGCAGATGGAAGATCTGTCTGTCTGTCTCCCGTTCTCTGTCTGTAACTCTACCCTTCAAATAAAAAAACAAACAAACAAACAAACAAAAAACCCACCCTGGACACTTCCTCAAAGCCAGTGAACCATTCTTACCATTCTTGCACTCCACCTGCTCTCTTCTTGGACCACATTCTGTCGCTTGCCAAGTATCTTTGCAAATCATTTGCCAGCTTTTTATTTCTATACTGTGTTGAGGAAAAGAACTCATGAAACTCAATCCTGCAGCTGCCCTTCCCTCTGCAACTGGTAAAATGAGACTAAGTAGGAGTTCCAGGATTCCTTTTAGTCCAGAAGCAAAGAGATTTCGTGAAATCAAACTATTGTCACAAAATCTATGAGAATATTTTTAGATTATAAATTATTGAAAAAGTGATAAAAAGATTTGTTTTTACTTGTGATATTGTTGAAGTTATTCTTCTTCTTATGATCCTATGTGATATCTTGATCTGTCCCTAATCCTTAACTTGGTGAATACAGTTGGTTTTTTTTCTTTTTAAATATTTCTTATTTATTTGAGAGGCAGAGTTACAGACAAAGAGAGGGAGAGACAGAGAGAGGTATTTGAACTGTTGGTTCACTCTCCAAATGGCCTCAAAAGCCAGAGCTGGGTCGGAAGTGGAGCAGCCTGGCCTTGAACTGCTGGGCATATGAAACACTGATAACGCAGTAGCGTATGGGTGCTACTATGCCACAGCACCAACCCTGGTGACTACAGTTTTACAAACTAAAATTAATCATTGTTTCAATTAGTGTACTTTCAGTAACTCCTTAAACTTTGGCAACTATTACTTTTCCTCAGTCTCCTTATTTTTCATAATAATGTCATTCACATAAGCACAATACAATTGAATTCTCTATACTGGGATAAAATTGAGAAACTTGGTTCTCTAATAATCAAGATCATACCTGGAGGGCTATGTTTGATAATAAATCAATCTAAATATAGGCTCTTCGTTAATGAAAGAGGATTCTACTTTATACGTTTTAGTCAATGACAAATCTTTCCAAGGAAACAGACTTGAAAGTTGCAGTTTCCAGGGTATTAATCTACCAAGTGTTAAGAGAGGTCATTGCCTGGCTGACCTGGGACTTTTGATAAACGCTGGACTCCAAAGAGAGGTAGCTACTTAAATCCATGAGAGATCTGGGGAAATATGGTGAGAGTTTCTTTCACTTGTTTTCTAGATTTGGACTGGAAGAACAAATTGTAGAAGAAAAAGCATACATTATGAGATTTTTAAATCAAATTTCTTGAAAGAAGCTAATTATCTTAGCCTCAGTAGTAGCTTGACACTGTGTGCTAAAGGAGGCGTATTTAGTTAATTAGCAACTCCTGCTATGCCAAGGTAATTAAGTGGAGCCACACATAAAAAGAACAACGTGTTTTGGACATCAAGAATGCTCTTCATTACTATCAAAATAAGGGTACTGTTAAAATTGTTTTATTCAAGTATTCTTCAATTATCAGGGAAAAGCAAACTTTTCCTTAAAGAGATATTTTAGCCTGTGCAGGAGATATGATCTCTGTCACAACTACTCAGTTCTACTATTTTTAAGTCCAAATGGCAATAGACTAAGAGGAAGTTAATGGATATACCTGTGTTATAGTAAAAACGTTTTGAAAACAGAATATTAACCAACATAAGTAGCTGGTTGGCCCTTAGTCTTGGGAAATGTGTTTATATTTACTTTGGTATTCCTGATAAGAAATCAATCATGTGGATTTATATTCTTAAATATGTTTCTGACTCTTATAAAAGAAATCCAGGCCAGCTAATCCTCTGCCTGCGGTGCCAGCATCCCAGGTTCTAGTCCCGGCCGGGGCGCCGGATTCTGTCCCGGTTGCTCCTCTTCCAGGCCAGCTCTCTGCTGTAACCCGGGAGTGCAGTGGAGGATGGCCCAAGTGCTTGGGCCCTGCACCCGCATGGGAGACCAGGAGAAGCACCTGGCTCCTGGCTTCGGATCAGTGCGGTGCACTGGCCACAGCGTGCTGGCTGCAGCGGCCATAAGGGGGTGAACCAACAGAAAAGGAAGACCTTTCTCTCTGTATTTCTCTCTCTGTCCACTCTGCCTGACAAAAATAAATAAATAAATAAAAGAAATCAAAGGTTATGATTACATTGCCTTATATAATATTGAACATATGTTATAATCTAGAAATCTCATTTATCATTCTTCTTTTAATTTCTTTTTGGTAGACTGTATAATCCTTGTTTGTCTAATTCTCATTTAGACTAGGCTATTTTACTGGCTCTATAAATAATGAATTTTTTTATTTTTATTTTATTTGGCACAAATTGTTTCAAAACTGAAAATTATTCCTAGATAAAAATATAAGTACTTGCATGCGAATGTGTTTTGGATCCTAATTCTTTTATCTTAAATATTGTGTGTTCTAAAATAGTAATTTTTCAAACCTTTTGGCTGACTTCACAAAAAGATCTAGGCACCGGCATTGTGGTTGCAGCAGGTTAGGCTGATGGTTGAAACACTGTCATCTCCTTTCTGAGTGCCTGTTTGAGTCCCTGTTTTGGCCATTTGAGGAGTGAACCAGCAGACAGAATTCTCTCCTTATCCCTCTCTATCTCCATTACTTTGCCTTTCAAATAAATAGCAAATAAATCTTTTTTAAAAAAATAATAGGCGGATACAATGATTTCTAAACCAAAGCAATCTCTCATCTCTGGAGGAGAATCAAATTTGATTTAAATAGCTGACATCAAAATGTTTGAAACAACAAGAGTTAGAGAATAATTACTTCATAATCCTTAATCCACTATAACATATGATAGTTATGTATGCTTTCCTGTGTTTAATCTTCGGTCTTAAAACGAGATTGCTTTCCCAACTATGTGAATAATGCTGTTGTTTTTTCCACACCATGATGGTGGAAACAGGTGTTCTTGGAGAAGAACTTCTGCAGGTCTGGAGGACCATTAATGCAGAAAGAGAGCTGTTCTAACTTTTTAAATTACTTTCACTCATGACAGAATTTGAGCTTTGGTGCACCCAATCTAAATTCCTTTAAGTCACTGAGGACACTGAAAGAAAGTTTCACTCAAAGTTAAATTTCTGCATTTCACCCTGAGCACAGGATTTCTGAGTGACAAGCTTATTTCTTTGTCTTTACTAGATAATGTTCTTCATGGTCCAAAAACCTATGATTGGATGATAATGCAATATATATTGGTGAAGTAAAATTTCATGGGCTGATAACCAAAACCAGAGATTTAGTCAAGTCACAATTCTGGAATCTGGACCATTGATTGGGAATTTCTTCCTTTTCATAAGAGAACTTGGTGTCCTGCCATCTCCCTAGCCCTTGGTGTAATGACTCCTTTCTAGGCCATTGTTCTGAAAAAGTAGAATGATGTAATCCCTGCTTTAAGGTGTTTTTTCCAGTTATTCCATTTCATGGTGAAAATAACAGAGGGGCAGTCATTTAGACTAGTGGTTAAAATGGGCAGTTAGAACATTTGCATTCCACACTGAAGTATGTGACTCAACTTCTAGCTTTAGTCTCTTGACAATGCAGACCTTGGGAAACAGCAATGAATAGATCAAGTAATTGGGATCCTGACACTAATGTGGGAGACCAGGATTGAGTTCCTAGCTCCTGATATCCCCCCAGACCCAGTTGTTGCAGATATTTTGGGAGTGAACCAACAGTTGGGAGATTCCTTTCTATCTGTCTTGCTGCCTCTCAAATAAATAAATTCTTAAAATATTTAGAATGCTGTCAAACTAAGGGTTATCAGATTCTTTTCCACATTGTGTCATTGGCTGCAGGCACAAACAACTTCCCTTCACTAGGTTACATTTGTTTCTATTTTTTGCCTTCAAATAGGCTATTATGAAGAAAATAGTATCCTTCTTGGAGCAATTTATTGAAAGGCACAAAAAATATTTGACATATTTCAAGATATTGGCATTTCTGTAAAGACTTTCCAAAGCTCAAGCCTCAGCAAACTAAACATCTGAGAACCAAGTGAATTTGTAGCAACATAGTAATATAAAAATTTTTTCTCACGCACAACAGATATTAGTATCTTTCTATCAAGAATAGAGAAAATCTTAATACTGAATTCTTTTTCAAGTTGACTTAATTCGCAGTTTAAATCTTAACAATTGTAATACTCCACTTCCAGGGAGCAATTTCAAAATTAGCACTCTTTAGCTCCACATTACTCAAAGTGACACAGGCAAAAAAATGTTAGATATCTGAAAATTCCAAATTATCAAACCATGTTAACAGAATCCTCTCTCACCTGTCTCTGTTGAAATGTTCCATTTTGTTGGCAGGTTTCTCAGTTTCTCTCATGTTACAAAATGGTCAGCACAAACACCCATTTCTGTACTTTGTGTCAGAGGAAATGATTCCAGAAAAGTCCCAGGTCTCTGCTTATTGTCTGATCTAATCAGCTTACCTACAGGTAGAATTCTCCGAATGGCAAGCTTGAACAACGCCCTACCAGCCGGATGAACTGAAAGTAGAGTGAGGATTATGCCACACACAAAAAAATCAAAGTTCTTTTACAAGAAAAAAGGTGGAAACATATGCAGTACAAAGAACAGATGCCTACAACTTGTTGAATCATGCTGAAAAACATGAAAATTTGATTTTTTGGTAGGTCATAGTAACTCCTAGTACATATATTTTGTAAATGTTAACAAACCCTCAATTTAATAATCTCTTAGAGTTTTAATGGGGTTATCATTTACAATATGTAGAATATTACTTTGTTTCTGAAATAAGAGAAAAATAATAATTTTATGATTCTTTTCATAGTTTTTGATAGTGAAAGCAATTATATCTTAAAATTGTGTCCATAACTGAAAAAAACTACACTTACTTAATATAGCTGTGATCTCTAGGGTGTTGTTTCTTCTGAAACTTATTTTTCTCCCCTGAACACCTTTAGAATGGAGATGGAAGTTTCAGCTTAAAGGTGCTATTGCATTTTTAGTTAATATTAGATTTTCTTCAACGGACGGATTTCTATACTTCTCTTTTCTAATGCTCTTAACATGTTAAAATGCATTATGCCATCCTTTTTAGAAAAACTTTTTATAGACGATAAACATACTATGTCATTTAGTACTCCTGAAACTATAAATGCCATTTTTTTTTTGACAGAGTTGGACAGAGAGAGAGAGAGAGAGAGAGAGAGAGAAAGGTCTTCCTTCTCTTGTTCACCCCCCAAATGGCTGCTACGGCCGGCACACTGAGCCAATCCAAAGCCAGGAGCCAGGTGCTTCCTCCTGGTCTCACATGTGGGTGCAGGGCCCAAGCAATTGGGTCATCCTCCACTGCCTTCCTGGGCCACAGCAGAGAGCTGGACAGGAAGAGGAGCAATCGGGACAGAATCCAGCGCCCCAACCGGGACTAGAACCCGGTGTGCTGGCGCCTCAGGTGAAGGATTAGCCAAGTGAGCTTTGGCACTGGCCTATAAATGCCATTTTAACATCTATATTCGACCTAAGCCATTTGTTCCAATACCGATGTAATCTTTTCAAATTTGTGTTAATATTCCTATGTACTTGATTTAATCCATAGAACTTCTTTGTTTTGCAATAAAATACTCTAAATTTTTAGAAATACCCATTATTAAAAAAAAAAAAACCTGCTCTCAGAAATCTAAAACCTTGGCTTTTGCCTAACAGTCCTTCCTCTGTTATTATAAACTTAAGGTTTGTATCCTCCATTCTGTCTTGGTGCTTGTCAGCTCTCAACAGTATCACAGGGAAGATCTTTCTTTCCTTCTTACTGAAATAGTTAATAACTTGAGCATTAACTCCTTTGAGCATTGATGTTCTTGTCTGCAATATGATTATAATTTATACTCCTCTCAGCAGAATTGTTGAGATTGAATATAATAACCTATATGGAGTTTTTAGTGCAACACCTGACACAAGGAGCTGCTTAACAGGTGAATGAAATAGATTTCATTCTGTAATGCCTCCATAGTGAATGGATTCGACAGTAAAAACCATTCTTCTAATACTAGCCATTCCTGGGTTTATAAAGTCTCACATTATGGATATCTCCCTGTACACAGATAATTCAAACTTTTATGTCTTCCTTCTAGATTCCTGCAACTGCTCATGCCTGTAAATGCTTATTTTGTTCTATAGGATAAAATATTCATTATTTAAAAAAAACAGTATTCCCTTCTATCTCCTATTTGAAAAACAGTATAGCATTTATGAAACCCTACAGTTACACTTTTTATTATTTTTCCATTTTTTCCCAAACTCTAGTTTCTGGGTCCTGCTTTGCATTTTTGTTTCTTCATATTCTGTATCTTTTTGTCATCTTTCTTAGGTCATTTTTCCATTTTTGTAAGGGCACAATCCATCACATGTGCTATTTTAGAGGCAGAAAGATATTCTGTTAATATTTTGATTTTTATCAATGTTGACACCTGTTACTTTGAGCTGAAGTATTCACCATCGCTAGTCTAGATCTGGATCACTATACTGTCCTCAGGCTCTTTCTCTGTATCTTTATATTTTCCCCTTATGAACTCTTTATCACATGTCCAGGACTAAAGGATTATAAAATTCCTGAATTTTTATTAAGAAACTGGAGGGGCTGGCATTTTGGCGCAGCAGATTAAGCCACATCCTCTAATGCCAGCATCCTATATGGGTGCTGGTTCGAGTCCCGACCACTCCACTTCTGATCCAGCTCCCTGCTGGAAAGGTAGTAGAAGATGATCCAAGTGATGGGGCCTCTGAACCCACATGGGAAACCTGGATGAAGTTCCTGGTTCCTAGCTTCAGCCCAGATATGCCCTAGGTATTGCAGCCATTTGGGGAGTGAACCAGGTGTTAGAAAACCTCTCTCTTTCTAATTCTGCCTTTCAAATAAATAAAATCTTTCAACTTTTTAAAAATCATAGCCTCCCAATTGCTACTGATCAAGCATCAATGTCATATATGAAACAGAAGGCCCTCTGCAATATTTTTTAAAAGATTTATTTATTTATTTGAAAGTTAGAGTTACACAGAGAGAAAAGGAGAGGCAGTGAGAGATGTCTTCCATCCCCTGATGCACTCCCCGGTTGGCCACAATGCCGGAGCTGAACCAATCTGAAGCCAGGAGCCAGAAACTTCCTCTGGGTTTTCCATCACAAGTGCAGGGGCCCAAGGACTTGAGCCAGCTTCTACTGTTTTACTAGGCAATAGCAGAGAGCTGGATCAGAAGCAGAGCATCCAGCACTCGAACAGGAGCCCATGTGTGATGCAAGCACTGCAGGTGGTGGCTTTACCCACTGTGCCACAGCACTGGCCCTGACCCTGTGTAATATTGCTCTATTGCCAAATAGAAAACTGACATCCACATTTTGCTGATCTCTATCTCATTTTACCCGATATACTTGTTTGTTTATGAATGTGTGTTTATAGCCCTGGACAATAGAATGGCTGATGCCTTATTCTTTGGACTGTAACTTGATACATGAGGGGTCAGTGTGCACACTGGCATGAAAAGGATGAGCTAGGTCCATTGTATTTCTACTCAGAACTTGAAGATATTTTTTCAGATATACATAGAGAACTCAGCAGTGAAGTCATATAGCTTCTAGAGCGAGAAAGCCATCAGCTACACATCTACAGAGAAAATAATAAAGAAATCTACCAAAAGAGATGCAGGTTTGAAGCAAGATGTCCCCCATCATTAAGGACAAAGTGAGAGAGGCAGGGAGAGATGCAGACAGAGACACAACACCGGGGCATGACAAGTGTGGACTCCATCCCCACAGAATTTTTTCTACACTTTAAAAATAAGCCTGACCCTATCTCCTTAAATAGCTTTACCAGATTTATGCTTGTTTTTTCCAATGAAAAAGCTTTGACAACAGATGAACTATTCTTGTTCATCTTATATTTTTTCATTCTGACAAATTTTTCTTCCTTTATAAGATTCCTACTTTTAAGTCAAAACCTCACAACATTGTTGACTCTATGAATTCATTTTCTACCTTCTTAGGCCAAATTCATCTCTAATCTAACTATGATCAAAATCTGTATTTACCTATTTAATAGGCAGCATATCATATTTTAACTATTTAATCTCCTAAAATTTCCTGCCTGTGTTTCAGTTTATACATCTCTTAAGTTTGAATGCTAACAATATTTCCTCAGGAAACTGTAATTAGTGATAAATAATCTGACATATGTAAATCTGGAGATAAACATGGTATGCTTCTTGAAACTAAGTTTAACAGAAACAGATCAAACTGATTAAACTCCTCTTACTTTGGTCAGTTAGGTTAGTTCTATTTAATTCTGAAATATCTCTGGAATACTACAATGAATCTAGCTCCCCAAATTTTCTGTATCTTGCAGATGCTAACGAGAAATTATTTAAAGTTCAAATAGCACTAATGTCAAGAGTTGTGGGTATTAAAGCCAAGGAAATTCCATGTCTGATATGCCATAAACCTCTCTAACTGCTCTGTACATTAATTTCCATGTTCATTAGGAACACTTTTACTCTGAGTAGACATGGTGAGGGTATGATTAAAGAAAAAAAAATTTCTCAGTGCAAGCAGCTTTAAAGGGACTTTTACTTAAATATTCCTCAAGAAATGAATAGAAATTTGACATCAAGCAAGATGAGATTAAGAAAATGGCACAGAAATAAAACAGACCTGTGTTAAGAACGTTATCTCTCTTAGTATTTTTTGTTTGTTTGTTTTACTTAATACTTTTGGTTGAATACTGTAATCAATACACAATTCTTCTTAAGTGCTGAACCTTAACTGAAAAGTGATCGCTGTTAAATATAAGAGTGGGAATAAGAGAGGGAAGAGATGTGCAATTTGGGACATGCTCAAGCAGACTTACCTCAAACGGTAGAGTTAGAAACATACCAGGGGATTCCAATTCAATCCCATCAAGGTGGCATGTACCAATGCCATCTCACTAGTCCCAGTGATCAACTTCTGTTCACAATTGATCATAATGATAGGACTAAGAACCAAAGGGATCACATAAACAAGAATAGTGTCTGCAAATACTAGCTGATAGAATCAAAAAGGGAGAGAATGATCCAACATGGGAAGTGAGATACACAGCAGACCCATAGAATGGCAGATGTCCTAAATAGCACTCTGGCCTCAGAATCAGCCCTTAAGGCATGCTGATCCGGCTGAAAAGCCCATGAGAGTATTTCAGGCATGGAAAGCCAAGACACTCTGGCAAAACAAACAAACAAACAAAAACAAAAACAAACAAAAAAACAAACACCTAAATGAAAGATCTTTGTGAGTGAGATCCCAGTGGAAAGAACGGGTCTTCAAAGAAGGAGGTAGCTTTCTCTGAAGGGAGGAGAGAACTTCCACTTTGACCATGGCCTTGCTTAAATATGATCAGAGTCAGTGAACTCAGGGGGCTTCCATAGCCTTGGCAGCTCATGACAAGAGCCTAGGGTGATTACTGAGGCCATAAACAAGAGTGTCAATTTGTTAAGTCAACAACAGGAGTCACTGTGCACTTACTCCTCATGTAGGATCTTTGTCCTTAGTGTGCTGTACATTGAGAT